GATCTCCCCAAAACCCCAAAACCCCAAAACCCCAAGAAAAACTAAAAGCTAAATAAACATGTGAAATATTAAAATTTGGAAAATAGGTAAATTCCTAATAAAATTAAGTTTTAATGAAAACATCTTCAGTCTCAGGTAATCAGCAATCTCTTCAAAATTATGATTATAGTTAAAAAAAGAATAAACAGAGGTAATATCACCTCAGACGACCCTGAATTCGAGAAATAGGTATTGAAAATGGATATTCAGGAGTCTAATGTGAAGAAAAAAGTGATGAACAAGCCAACTTCAAATAATAATAATAGATTGAGTGCGTAGGGGACTAAATCACCCAATACTTCTTAATATCTTGGTGTTCCTGATAGCAAGAATTATAGATCTAGCTCATCAAATAGCAATTATGGAACTGCTACTATTTATGATGAAAATTCAGCAGCAAAGCAAGCTTTTGAAAAATTAATTGAAAGGAATAACAATTCATTTTTATCTGAAAATAGTCCCAAACCAATGCGAGAAGTGCCAATGCAGCACCTATATGATGACAATGTCCGAGACGTTCAGAATGAAATCTAAAAGCAAAGGTTGGAAATCATTCCCTCTGTTACCTTCTTGGATGAAACTATTGCTGATAATTATATATACGAGAATGAGAACACAAACAAGCCAGTTCTTACCTAAGTTATTGAATGCAATGAATACTATCAAAAGACTGTTATGTTTGTTGAAACTAGGCAGAGAAGTTTTCATAATAACGACTCTCCAACAATGAAGAAAAGTCTTTTAGAAAAGCATCACTAGGAGTTTATGGTCAAGAAAAGAAATTTGTTGCATACTTAAGCCGATGAAGTTGCTGATGGACTAAGAGTATAATAAGAAGAGTCTTATTTAGATTGCAATGAACTTCTCAAATAAGTTGAGCAAATTGTTAAAGATAATATAGCACCATTAAAGCAAATTGAAATCGAGAAAAATTACACAATCAAGGGATTTAAGTCAAGAGAGAACGAGAAAAATGTACTAAGAGATAAAATTAACATTGTCTAGAATGTAAATGAAGATTTAAGAGTGCAATTAAGAGATTCAAACTAGCAATTTAATATAAAGTAGGCGAACATTATTTAAAATTTAGCCAATGATGACGAAGTTGATTACAGACCAAGTCAACAATTAGAGGAGCTAGAAAATGAAGTCTAAGATCTAAGTAATAAGATATTAAAGAAGCAAGTAGTTATGGATAGAAATGATAAACAATTTAGTCAATCGTAAACCAAAGATTCCCTCTAGGAATACCAGGAATGCCAAAGAGTAAAGGAACTGGAATTAAATGAGCAGACCTAAAACTTAAAGAACTCTGAGTTTTAAATTACTGCTTTTAATATTGAAATCTAAAGACTCAATAGTGTCCAATAAAAACTAGAAGCTGAAACCTTGGGATAATAAATCAGACAATATGAATAAACTTAATTAATGGCACTAATGAAAGAAGAAATATTCTAATATTAATCAATTTATGACAAACAAATCCTTTTGTAAAAATCAGAAATAAGGGATAAGTTAAAATAAGTTGAACTGCTTCAACAAAAAGTCTAAAATTTAGAAAGAGATAAATTGCTATAGGCCAAAGAGCTATCAAATAAAGCTAGCTAGAATGACACCTAGTAGTTAGAGCGAATATCGGAGAGAAGCAATGGTCAAGATGTTTCTGATATTTTAAGTGAAATAGAGGACATATTACAATTGAAATTTGATAGCCTTTATCCAAAGGTTGAGAGTGAACAAGGGGAATCCTACGAGTCTAGAGAATATGAAGACAAAAAGGAACTAGATAGGATAGCCATGCTGCATGAAAACATAAAGGAGAAAGAATGTTACATAGAAAATGTGGATTAAGACAATGAGAAAATATCATAGAGCATTGACTAGACTCAGAATGAGATATTTAGATGCAACATTATCAATGACCTCAATGTAAGTTTTTGTATTGATTAATTTTATACAGGTAGTTATCTAAACTGAGAAAAATCAATGTGAAAAATGCTTAAGAGGTATCTATGACGACTATGAAAAGCTGAACTAGATAAATGAAGACTAGCTAGGCTTGTAAAGACTTTGCAAAACTAAGTAATAAATTCTTGATAGAGAGCTACTTTAACACCTTGAAGATATCGAAAAGTATAATTATTTAAGGTTATTCGCTAATTTTTAGACTAGAGACCGAGATATTTGCTTAAAGCAGTGAATTGATAAAAGATCTGTCTCTGAATAATTAGATTAGCAAAAATGATATCCTTATAAAATAGAAGCTTGAGTAAATTATGCTTGCAGAGGCTAAATTGAATGTAAAGAAAAATGATCAGAAGTAGTTGGAGTAGCTTTAAAGAAAGAAAGATGAAATTATAGCTGAATTAGAATCACTAGCTGGAAAAGATAAAAAAGTTATTAAAGAAGTATTTGTAGATAAAGTTAGAGATAACAAAGTGGATGATGTAGTTTAAAATATTATAACCTAGGGGTGTCGTGTGCCCATACATAAAATCAGTGAAAACTATTACTAATTTGGCTCTAGGAAAATATATGTGAAGTATGATGCCCAACTTAGAGATGTTATGGTTCGTGATAAGGGAGGAAGGTATCTTGAAGTCAATTAGTACATAAGGGACAATGAAGATACTGAAGCACTTAAAATGGGACTATAATATCAAAGCTAGAATAATGAAAGCATGAATAGCAATGGGAAATATGATAGAAATTTTAAAGGAGATAATAGCGAAGGTATTGAGAAGCCTGTGCACACCGCTAAGATAAAACTTGAAGTTCAATATAGATCAAATAAGCTGCATTGAAAATACTGAAGATTACAAATTTTTTAATTTTATAACTTTCATTTCAAGTTACAAATTTAACTTCCTGGGGTTTTGGGGTTTTGGGGTTTTGGGG